TTAATAAATACGGTTTTGAAATTCGAAATTTTAATTGGATAATCAAGTGTTTTAATTGCTTTTTATGTTGGAATTGGTCGTCTGATCTGAAATTCGAAATTTGAAATGGTTTAAAATTTTGAATTTAAATATGGATGGTGGGAAAAGAAATTCTTTTAAAAATCGAATTTTAATCTTTAAATCAAATAATTAAATGACCATTTGTGGTGGCAGACACTGCCTATCACATTGGTATCCAAAAAAAAATCAGCTGATTTAATTGCTTTTTATGTTGGAATGCGTCATCTGATCTAAAATTCGAAATTTGAAATGGTTTAAAATTTTGAATTTAAATATGGATGGTGGGAAAAAAATTTCTTTTAAAAATCTAATTTTAATTTTTTTAAATCAAATAATTAAACGACCATTTTTATTTATAATCGTGAGTGTGATGTGTCTGTTAATACGTCGTTATTTTTTGTTTCTGTTTAGATTTGATGCTGTTCTGAAAGACGCGTAGCTGGAACAGTGTCACTTGGAAGTTGGAATAACGTCACTTGAAAGTTATTTACAAAAAAAAAAAAAAAAACGTCACTTGAAAGTTTTTTGTTTTTTGTTTTGGAGATTGTTTGGGATTGAACAATATAATTGTAGTTTTTTATTGTTGTGTTTTGGTAATCACTTCCTCCGTGTTTAACTTCAAATAGGAGCGTTCCTGTAGACAAAGTAATGTTTATGCATATTCTGGAATACAAGTTTATCTGTTTGTCATTAGTTATTTTCCACAATATTTTCAATTGTTTTATTGGAATGATAAATATGTGGTTAATCCGGTAATTGGATAATCAGCTGTTTAATAAGTTTCAAAATTCGAAATTTTAATTGTATAATCAGCTGATTTAATTGCTTTTTATGTTGGAATGCGTCATCTGATCTAAAATTCGAAATTTGAAATGGTTTAAAATTTTGAATTTAAATATGGATAGTGGGAAAAAAATTTCTTTTCAAAATCAAATTTTTTATTTTTTAAACCGAATAATTTAATGATCATTTGTGGTGGCAGACAAGGCATTGAATGTCTCACTGCCCATCACATTGGCATCCAAAAAGAAATCAGCTGTTTTAATTGCTTTTTATGTTGAAATTGGTCATCTGATCTAAAATTCGAAATTTGAAATGGTTTAAAATTTTGAATTTAAATATGGATGGTAAGAAACGAATTTCTTTGAAAAATCAAATTTTAATTTTTAAATCGAATAATTAAATGACCATTTGTGGTGGCAGACATAAAAGAATAATTAATTAATAAATATGGTTTTGAAATTCGAAATTTTAATTGGATAATCAGATGTTTTAATTGCTTTTTATGTTGTAATTGGTTGTCTGATTTGAAATTCGAAATTTGAAATGGTTTAAAATTTTTAATTTAAATATGGATGGTGGGAAAAGAATATCTTTTAAAAATCGAATTTTAATCTTTAAATCGAATAATTTAATGACCTGGCTGTCAAGGCATTTAATGTCTCACTGCCCATCACATTGGTATCCAAAAAGAAAATAGCTGTTTTAATTGCTCTTTATATTGGAATTGGTCATCTCATCTGAAATTCGAAATTTTAAATGATTTATCAATTAAATTTCGAAATTATGTATTTATTTTGCACAATCTGAAATTCGAAATTTTAAATTCAATAAAAAGAAAACTCTTTTCACGTACATGCATTCACGATCTCTATTCATGGATATCAATAGAAACAAAAATAAATTTCACAATTGTTGAAGACCTAATTGTCATTCAATTCACAATTTCGTTATGGTTATTTTTTAAATAATATATACACAATAATAATATAACAAAGACATTATCTTTGTTATATATTTGATCCAAATATCATAACAATCAAGAATCAAGAGAGCTAACAGACAAAATAAATTAGATAATCAAGTGTTTTAATTGCTTTTTATGTTGGAATTGGTCGTCTGATCTGAAATTCAAAATTTGAAATGGTTTAAAATTTTGAATTTAAATATGGATGGTGGGAAAAGAATTTCTTTTAAAAATCGAATTTTATTCTTTAAATCGAATAATTAAATGACCATTTGTGGTGGCAGACAAGACATTGAATGTCTCATTGCCCATCACATTGGTATCCAAAAAGAAATCAGCTGATTTAATTGCTTTTTATGTTGGAATGCGTCATCTGATCTAAAATTCGAAATTTGAAATGGTTAAAAATTTTGAATTTAAATATGGATGGTGGGAAAACAATTTCTTTAAAAAATCGAATTTTAATTTTTTAAATCGACTAATTTAATGACCATTTGTGGTGGCAGACAAGGCATTGAATGTCCCACTGCCCATCACATTGGTATTCAAAAAGAAATCATCTGTTTTAATTGCTTTTTATGTTGGAATTGGTCATCTCATCTAAAATTCGAAATTTGAAATGGTTTAAAATTTTGAATTTAAATATGGATGGTGGGAAAAGAATTTCTTTTAAAAATCCAATTTTAATTTGTAAATCGAATAATTAAATGACCATTTGTGGTGGCAAACATAAAACAATAATTAATTAATAAATATGGTTTTGAAATTCGAAATTTTAATTGGATAATCAGGTGTTTTAATTGCTTTTTATGTTGGAATTGGTCTTCTGATCTGAAATTCAAAACTTGAAATGGTTTCAAATTTTAAATTTAAATATGGATGGTGGGAAAAGATTTCCTTTTAAAAATTGAATTTTAAAATTTAAATCGAATAATTAAATGACCATTTGTGGTGGCAGACATAAAAGAATAATTAATAAATAAATATGGTTTTGAAATTCGAAATTTTAATTGGATAATCAAGTGTTTTGATTGTTTTTTATGTTGGAATTGGTCGTCTGATCTGAAATTTGAAATGGTTTAAAATTTTAAATTTAAATATGGATGGTGGGAAAAAAATTTCTTTTAAAAATCGAATTTTAATCTTTACGCGCAAGAACCAGGAAGCATCTGAAGCTCGAAACACCTACATTTTTTTATTATATAGTTATTTTGTTTTTAAACGTTGAAACAGATAACGACATTTGTCTTTCATGACCAGAAATTGCTGATGCATTGATGAAATGACTTCTACTCCCTCAAATAGCAAAACATATATTTAATTAAATTACCGAATAAGTAATTAAAATTTATAATTTTACGAATAAGTAATTTTGTAAATTTTACATTTTTATTACCCAAAATTATAAAGTGAAAGCGCACATGTTCTGACCATCAAGCGCATATCAATGTTGAATATACTTGTCAAAGTAGTGCCATTAAATATCTCTTTAAATACATCCATAAAGGGCAAGACAGGGTGACATCTGCTATAAATCATTCAGATGATGAAATCAAAATGTTTTATGATTGCAGGTTGTTGAATTCATATCGGTTATGTTTCCTTTCGTTACTTGGAATAACCTTTTTCTAACTTAATTTGAATTTATTGCTTATATATGATAGGTATGTGTCTGCATGTGAAGCTACTTGGAGAATATTCGGATTTGAGATTCATTACAGATTTCCCCCTGTTCAGCGATTGCCATTTCACCTACCCAATGAAAAAAGCGTTGTTTTTAGTGATCATGCTTCAATAACCGATGTCAAGACTAGGGCGGAGTCTAGACAATCAATGTTCGAGTCTTGGATGGATGCAAATAAAAAATATCCAGAAGGTAGGAATCTTACTTATGCAGAGTAACCAACTCAATTTGTATATAAAGAAAGTACGCATGAATGGCATCCCAGAAAAAAAGGATTTTCAATTGGAAGAATAAATCATTTTTCTGCCAATAATGGAGAAGATTCCTATCTCCAAACTTTACTTAATTTTCAAAAGGGTTGTACAAGTTATGAAGATTTGAGAACGGTCAATGGGGTGCTTTTTCCTACATATAAGGATGCCTGCTATTCTTTGGGGCTTTTGGATGATAACAATGAGTACATTGATGCAATTAAGGAGGCAAGTTCTTGGGGGTCAGCAACTTATCTAAGAAATCTGTTTGCCTTATTGTTATTTGGTAACTCAATGAACATGCTTGAAAATGTTTTCCAAAAATGCTGGGAATTACTATCTGACGATGTTCTTTATCGGCATAGGCAAAGAATTGGACGTGAAGGTAATTGTCCGGAACAAATTTTGTGCATTCATTTATGTGTATTGTGCACTATAATTAATATTCTTGCCATTCTGTATCGTGCATTCATTTATGCAAACAGTTTGCTTATGTTTAATTCACTTGACCTTCGAAAAAATGTGATCATTTTTTGTTCCTTCATAATAAAATTACATCTATACATTATACACCGTCCTATTCTTAATATTTGGTTAAAATATTTCGTTATGTTTTACACCCTCTGCTTTGTTCATAATTTCGCTTTATTTTTCTTTCCTCACCAACTTTGTTTTTGTTAATCCTTTTTTTTTGTATTTTTCAATTTTTTTCAGATGCTTTGCTTACAAAGGATTCTATAAAAAACATAACCCTAGCAGAAATCGATAAGGTGTTGCAAAGCAACGGTAAATGCCTCTCTGATTACCCATCTATGTCGAGCATCATGGGTGAATCTTTATTGGATATGCAGAATAGATTGGTGATGGATGGATTGTTGTATGACAATTTCTCTTTGAAAGAAGAGAATGACAGACTACTGAATTCACTCACTGATGAGCAGAGGGTTGTTTATGACAAAATAATTTCAGCTGTTTTGGCAGGTAAAGGAGGATTTTTTTCCTGTACGGCTTTGGTGGGACTGGAAAAACATTTATTTGGAACATCCTGTCAGCATTTGTTCGATCTCGAGCTGAAATAGTGCTTAATGTTGCTTCTAGCGAAATTGCTTCACTTCTTCTTCCTGGAGGACGTACGACACATTCTAGATTTCGTATTCCTATACAGATCACCGAAGATTCAACATGTAATATAAAACAAAATTCTACTTTGGCAAAGTTGTTATAAAAAACAAAGTTAATCATTTGGGATGAAGCACCGATGGTACACAAATTTTGCTTTGAGGCTCTTGATAGAACACTTAGAGATGTTCTTAGCTGTGTTGATATGCCCTTTGGTGGAAAAGTTGTCGTTCTAGGAGGTGACTTTCGGCAAATATTACCTGTCATTCCAAATGGCAGTAGACAAGATATAGTTCATGCAACCATCAATTCTTCCTATCTATGGTCCCATTGTCATCTGTTATCTTTGACCAAGAACATGTGTCTCAATTCTGGAAGTAGCACTAATAATTTGTTGGAAATAAAAGAATTTTCTGAGTGGCTGCTTAAAATAGGAGATGGTGATCTTGGGGATGATGTTGATGGAGAATCTATTATAACAATTCCAGATGAATTGTTGATCAAAGGTTCAGAAGACCCACTTTCAGATATTGTTGATTTTGTTTACCCGAATCTTATGGATAATATATTAGATCCTACTTTCTTTAAAGAACGTGCTCTTCTGACTCCTAAATTGTCCGATGTTGCCATGTTAAACGAGCACCTAATGGCTGTGATTCCGGGTGAAGAAAGGACATTATTGAGTTCAGATAAGGTTTTGAAACAAGACGGTAATTCATCTCTTGAGGATGACGAAATCTCCCCTGATATCTTAAATACATTCTCATGTTCGGGGATTCCTGATCATAAATTAACTTTGAAGGTTAAAGTACCGGTGATGCTATTGAGAAATATTGATCAATCAAGAGGTTTATGCAACGATACGAGATTACTTATTACAAAGTTGGGGAATCATGTTGTTGAGGCAATTGTTCTTACAGGAAACAATATAGGAGATACTGTGTTAATCCCTAGAATAACGATCAGCCCATCGGGTCATACATTTCCAATAAACTTCCAAAGAAGACAATTCCCCTTGGTAGTTTCATTTGCGATGACTATCAACAAAAGTCAAGGACAGTCGCTGTCTCATGTTGGCATTTATCTTCCTAGGTCTGTCTTCACTCATGGGCAATTATATGTGGCACTATCTAGAGTAAAGAGCAGACATGGATTGAAGATGCTGATACTTGATGAAAATGGTTGCGTTACAAATACTACCTTTAACATCGTCTACAAGGAAGTATTTCAAAGATTAGTGTAGTATACTTGGTTATTTCTACAAAGAGATAACATTGTTGTTTGGTATCAAGTAAGATCTCAATTTTTTATCAGAAAATATTTATTAATCTTCTTTGTTGATTCCCTTTAGTTGTTATGCCTATTTTTCTGCTAATTTTTTATTGTTATGCAGATTCAGTATTCGAGGCACAATCAGTATATTATTCCCTTGTCATTTTTCAGAGTCAAGGTTTTTCATTGTAATTCTGAATTATTCATCTGCCTAAACTATATAATTCCCTTCAATAATTTTTTCTTTTCCAAATATTGTTTATTTATTCTTTATGGGGATAGGATATTGTGACACATAAATAATGTTACACACAATGTTACGACCACATCTTAACCGTTGATTTCTGTCAATCAACGGTTATTATTTATTGCGAATTAATAATTAATTAATGAGTTTGATTTAAAAAATGATAACCGTTGATTGGCGGAAATCAACGGTTAAGATGTGGTCGTAACATTGTGCGTAACATTATTTGTGTGTCACAATATCCTATCCCTTGTTTATGATTCATTTCGAACAGCAGCAAATACCAATAGTGCATGGCGGACGATATTTTACAACTGTTGTGAGTATCGGTTGGGCATATTTCTTATTATATTGCTGTCAACATGACATTTATATTTTTTTAATGGAGATTTTGCTGTCAACCATGAAATTTACTGTGTTTAAATTATTATATTCTTTTTTTTGTTCCTACCTTAAAAGTTACACGTTTATGTCATACGAACAAACCGATTTTCTTATTAATTCGTTTACGGGACAAACAAACCGATTTTTTTTTTCTCTGTGCATCGCTCGGGTAATCAACTAGTAATAAATTAAGAGAATGTGAAATATGTCATTTTTAATGTAGTTGAATTTGAAAAATATGAGTTCAATATCATTGAGAGATATGTTTATAGGGATTCTGAGTTGCAATTTAAATTGACATAGTAATAGCATGCATTTTTATTTATTTATGCTTCTTGTTTTTGAACTTATTTAATGAACCTTGTTTAATTTATTTTAGATATGGAGAATATAATTGAATTTATATGTTCATATTTATATATATTTTTATATATTTATATATATCCAGGTCAACCGGTTCAATCAGTAACCCACCGATCCGACCAGTGACCCAGTACCCCGACCGGGTCGATGCCCGAGTCTGGTTTAATAACAATGATAATTTTTGCCCAAAAACAATATTATTTCAGTGAACATTAGATAAAATTATTTAAAATGACTTTAGAAAAAATGAACAATAAATAATTACAAAAAAATATGATGCACAAAAAAATGAGACAATATCTCTCGTTCAATCAATCATGAGGGCACAATGAAGACATATTTCCCTTTTCCATTCCGATTAAAAAGTCTGACCGAATCAATAACAAATTAGCATTCATTTTGTGCACAATTAAGGTGATTTCCTTTTTAATTCAATCAAAAAGTCTGATCAATTTTTTCATTTTTTTTCTATCAGCAATAAATTAGGAGATTATTGGACATGATTTGGGGAGATTAATACCGTAAAATACTCAAGAATACAAAGGAGACAAAGACAAATACACACAAAAACACATAGGTAGAAAAGGAGAGAGTGAGACAAAGAGAAACAAGCGTTATATAAAGGACACATGATTAAAAAATATGATGCCTGACAAAAAAAATGATACTTTATTTCAATGTTAAAAAAATAGGATCGAGCAGGGCGGGTTGATCCGAAAATTGATAAATTGATCATATAATCAGTTTAGTTTTCATATTAAATCGGCTACGTAATGAAACTAGTGCGACCCTCGGACGATTTTTATAAAAATCAGTGATCCAGTTGATTCAACCGATAACCTAACCCTTTTCATTAAAAATAAAAATAAAAATTAGGCTTGGTTTCAAAGCTATGACATTAAACATTGGGCTACAAGCCCATAAAGGAGTGAGCCTTCAACTAACTGTAATGACGCAATTCCTAACAGACTATAGTTACAAGTTTCTTGAGACTCCCTAAGACCCTAACTGCTGCTACCGTTGTTCCACAACATGGTAACTGTAACAGAAACACTAGACTATTTGGATGGAAATTCTGAGCAAAACTTCTTTATATATGTAGCCAACTCTCGTATCCTATATTTCTTTGTTTCTTTGTATATATTTTTTTAGGGTTCACTTTTTTCTATGAAACATGAAACACTAGTATCCCAAGTATTATATGTTTGATTAATCTTTTATTGGACAATGATGTATAATTTATTATTTTTTATATTAAAATATTTGGAATTGATATATTTTTTTATATGTATTTGAGTATATTTATTATTTTTTAATATAAATTATAAATTTACATATACTTACCGAGTCATACAGTTAAATCAGTAATCCAATAACCTAATACATTGATCGGATTAATAATTGAGCTGGATTTAATAATATTGGTAAAATATGTCACCTTCGCTCTTATTCAATCAATCACGAGGTCACATTAGAGGAATTAGAGGAATGTTTCCCTTTTTATTCTAATTGAAAAGTGTGAACAAATCAATAATAAATTAGCATTCATTTTGTACAAAATTAAGGTGATTTCCCTTTTTAATTTCATTCAAAAAGTCTGATCAATTTTTCTTTTCATTTTCCTTTAAATCAGCAATAAATCATGAGATTATTGGTTATGATTCGGGAGATTAATATCGTAAAATTCCCAAAAATACAGAAACACTAGATTACTAAAAAAATAGAAACGGACAAAGATCCAAGTATATAAAGAGAAAAAAAGAGAAGGAGACAAAGAAAAACAACAAACTCAAAGTGATACGAGAACAATCACCTTGTTATCAGGGGGAATTTTTTCTTTTGCCTTGGAGGAACATTGTTGAAGAGATGGGCATTGTACAATCATCTTCTATAACTAGTTGCTTGGATCTTCAAAAAAGGTCAGCTAAGTTAGTAATGTTTACTCTTTCTGTTTTTTTATACATAACTTTTTTCTTTTTTTTTTGAGTTTGTGAAATTGGAGACAAATTCACAGCTTATGCATATGTATTTAAAATAAAGCAAAAAGATTAAATGATGGTAGTTCAATTGGTGCCATTAAACTGAGTAAGTGGTGGTGAGAACATGTATTCAATCCTTCTCAGTATCGTCTTTGAGAGAGATTCAAAACTTTAATCCTATGACCTCCCGAATATCAAGGAAACGATGAACTGATTAAAATATTTTAAAAAAATAAATAAAGCTAAAAGTACTATGCATGTTAGAAATTAGAGCCATTGTTGTAATTGTTGTTTAAATATGCTAATAGGCTGTTTAAGGTACAATTGTTAAAAGAGTTATTTTGTGCATTGATCTCAAATTTTATTGTTGCTTATCCATTATTATCACTAATTGTGATATTCTAGTGATGTTTTTTTTTAACCCAACCCTAGTTCCTCTTTAAGATGAGTTGGCTCTATCTGGTATCTCTAAAACTTTGACTCTTTGAATCGGCTATGTGACTAATATACTAATAGGTTGTTTAAGTTACCATTGTTACAAGAGTTCTTTTGTATATTGATCTTTATTGTTGCTTATTCATTATTATCAATAATTGTGACATTCTAGTGATTTTTTATTTTTATTTTTGTGTGTTAACATGTAAGAGTGTCGGGGAAGCTAATTCAACTAACATTGTTGATTAAATGCTTCAATTCTCATAAAATATATGTTACTGTTATCGGTACAGTGTGTGATGAATCTCTGATCAATATATGCTTTTATTTGGTGCCCTTATTCTCATGAAACATGTATTTATTCACACACTCATGTCTCATGGCTTTAGTGTCCACCCAGAATTCCTTAGTGTTTGCCACTACGTTTGGTACGTGGAATTCTTCAGAATTTTTGGAAAATTGAATTTTTCTAAATTTTGTATTTTCGGATATTATGGTAAACTGAATGTAAAAATCATATTTTTGAAAATCGAGATTCCCAGATAAAATTTTTTTTCTACTCTATCAAAGGTTACACTCAAAAACCTCAACCAACGGGTTCATGTCTTCAACCCCATAGGAAGTAGATTCAACCATATTGGCTTGTGTTGCACTTTTCTTTTTTATGTTCTTCCCTTTCTTGCAATCCTTAGCATGATGGCCAGATTTTTCGCACTTCCAACAATTTCCCTTGAACTTCTTGGATGAATCTTTCTTGGAACTCTCTTTGGAATACTTTCTCTTCTTGTTCTTTGAACCTTTCTCTAGTTTCCAAGGAAATCGGACAATTGCTTCTCGGAATAGAACGAATAGCGTCACTAGTACAAAGACACTTTTTAACTAAACCCTCCTCAGAACTCCATATAGAATCCCATATAAGAATTCCTAACTAACTTCTTATTCATTACACCTAGAATTCCATATAAGAATTCCAACATTTTTACTATGTTAGAGCATAATATAAAAAATAAAATTTCTTTTGACCAAATATTTAATTAAATAGTCACTTAATTGAGTTATTTTTAGTCTTACGGTTAAGTAATTTTACCGCCAAACTATATCATTATGCGACTAATTTTAAATTAACAAAGTAAAGAAGTTTTGTAATGCCCAACTCAAAAGTTTCTGCAAGGACAGGGGAGGAAATAGCAGGACCAGGATATATATAATATGGTCACAAATCAAATAAAAGACTGAAGATATGTGCAGGTGGCAAAATAAAAGAAAACTTAGTAAGATTTTGGACTTCACTAAAACAGTTGAAATTGGCTAGGCACGCATGTATGTCTTCCCTTGTCTTTAGCTATCTTTGACCTTAAATTAGAACCTCAACCAACAACCATCCAATTTCCCAAATCCCTACCAAAGGAAATTTCTCCTAACAAAAAAAATAATGCAAATTTTGTTTCTCTCACTCTTAAACCCATCCCATTTCTTACAACATGCACCCCACGTTCAAGGAACTAAGCTCAAAAAAGAAAACACAAAAACCATCAAACAAATCACCTCCACCCTTTTGTCAAACTCACAAACTCCAAAAAAAAACTCCCATTTCATTTGTTACTTTGGCTTCTCCCCCTGCAATTTTCCTTCTCTCCCCACAGGGTCTCGGACACCCCATGTTTTTTTCTTGCTTGTTCACCCCTTGAAAGTTTTCCTCGGAAAATTTTTTAAAAAAAAAAAACATGGTCCGAGCAGTGGAACAAGAACAGGAAACTTACAGGTCCAAACTGTTTAATTTCAGAGGGATGTTTGAGAGCACTGGGAGGCATACTAAGAGCTTGAGCGTTGAGACTGCTAGCATGTTAGATCCTACAGAGGATGATGCAGCGTCATCAAGAAGTCAAGGATCAAATTCCGAGAAGGTTCCCAAGGCAAGGACAATAAGCAAGGAGGAAATCTCAGCTAAGGAAGCCAAAGAGAAGCTATTGCAAGGTAAGAACTAGTGCTAATCAAATTTGTAATCTCTACTGTTAATATCTTCAAATTCTGTCACTGTGGAATTTTATCTACAAAATTTGATTTTCATGGTTGGTTTAAATTCAGAGATGGAACAGATGAAGGAAAGATTTGCCAAACTGCTATTGGGTGAGGACATGTCCGGTGGAGGAAAGGGTGTTTCTTCTGCTTTGGCACTGTCAAATGCATTCACAAACCTTGCTGGTGCGTTGACTTCTTGGCTTTCTTTCCCCTTCAGCTAAGACATTGCATTCTTTTTATGTGATGGAAAAATATTTGACTCGTTCCTTCAGCTAAGATATTGTCATTTTCTCTTATAATCTTTTCTCATTGAGAATGCAGCTTCTATTTTTGGTGAACAAAAACGCCTAGAACCAATGCCGGCAGAAAGGAAAGCAAGATGGAGAAAAGAAATTGATTGGCTTCTATCTGTCACGGATAACATTGTTGAAATGGTTCCTTCACAACAAAAATCCAAGGATGGTTCAAACATGGAGGTAACCCTCTCTCTCTCTCTTTATGTTATTCTTACTATGATCATATCCTCATAATTGCTATATGATTGTGGACCTCATCTTCGATGGAATAGATTATGACAACACGACAAAGAACTGATCTCCACATGAATATCCCCGCCTTGCGCAAGCTTGATGCAATGCTTCTTGTAAGATCACTAACCATGTCCACTCATACCTTCCCTCTTGAGCTAAATATGATCGTTACTTCTATAGGTTTAAGTTGTTTGTTAATTATCTTGAACAATTTCTGATGATGCAGGATTGTCTGGATAACTTCAAAGATCAACAAGAGTTCTATTATGTATCGAAAGATTCAGATCAAGACAATGCAAAGACAATGAATGATGATAAGTGGTGGTTACCTACACCTAAGGTTCCTGCAGAGGGTCTATCTGAAGTGGCTAGAAAATTTCTGCAGTATCAGAAAGATAGTGTACAACAAGTACTCAAAGCAGCCATGGCAATAAATGCTCAAGTTCTAACAGAAATGGAGATCCCGGAAAGCTATGTTGAATCCCTACCCAAGGTGAGACAAAAAGAAGTACTATTTCCTTTAAAAGTTAGTACCTGTATCAGTATTCTGAATCTTAAACAACATAAATGTTTGATTTTTCTTTTCTTCTTTTTACAGAATGGCAGAGCAAGTCTGGGAGACTCAATCTACAGGAGTATCACAGTTGAATTTTTTGATCCTGACCAGTTCCTATCAACCATGGACTTATCATCAGAGCATAAAATCCTAGATCTCAAGAACAGAATTGAAGCATCAATAGTGATTTGGAGGCGGAAGATGAACCAAAAAGATTCCAAATCTGCTTGGGGTTCTGCTGTTAGTTTGGAAAAAAGAGAGCTCTTTGAAGAGAGAGCAGAAACCATCTTACTCCTCTTAAAGCACCGTTTCCCTGGCACTCCTCAATCTTCACTGGATATAAGCAAAATCCAATTCAACAGGGTAAGAGCATGTCCAGTTTTTAGCTTGAGTTCTGTCCAATATCTGCATACACTTAGTTGCAATGAACTGAATGAAGTGGTTCATATGTCTTTAAAATCTAGACATAACATCATATATAACTAGATTCTTTTTCATTTTGTGTTGCATGAATTTGTATATGAGTCTGAAAAGGTTGGTTGGTTCATCTAAAAGACTATTGTTATTGTATTTAATTATCATTGTTATCTTGGCAGGATGTGGGGCAAGCTGTTCTTGAAAGCTATTCAAGAATATTGGAAAGTTTGGCCTTTACGGTACTTTCAAGAATAGATGATGTACTTAACGCAGATGTTCAAACTCAAAATCCAACAGGAAAAAGGAACGCTGGCAGAATCTCAGTTTCAAAGCCGAGTCCAAGAGAAGAGATAGACAAGGGTGGCGCAGAAACACCTTGTTCAATGACACTATCAGATTTCATGGGTTGGGGCTCTGATCAAGGTGACTCAGACATGAAGAAGGACCCCTTTGCAATTTCAGATGACTTTTACAATGACGTTGATGCAAAGCAACAAAAAATTCCAAACGTAATCACCAAGAAGATGTCATACCTTGAGAACTTGGGAGTTTTGAGAAGTCCAACATCTCGACATTAAAAACACGTGTCAGAAGGAATGAGAAAGATGACAGGAAAACAATTTTAAAGTAAGAAGCTTGGTCTTCAAAAGCACTATTAGACCCATAGAGGTGTTTGTTGGACTTTTGATTGTTGATTCTACACCAATTCTTTCCTTTTGTACATAGGAATGATGATACAAAATCATCGGCTTTGAAGCATTGGTCAGATTTTGATGATACCATGAGTACCGTGACTTTTGTTCCCCATGACCTTTCCTTTCTGTGGCAGTTTTAATGTAGACATCTTGCTGTGGTAATCTCACAGACCAATGTTGTGTTAACATACCATTTCTACTAGTATTGCTTTCTATAAACTAGTATCATTGAATTAAACGCCAGGAATTTAAGTGAGTAAGTAAAATATTGCCAATCGACTCATCTGATACATGAACTTCGTCACTAAAAAGATGTTGAGTTTCATTCTTATTGGTCATCCTTTGCTATTATGTGGTGATCTAAAACACTCTGCCAGAGTGAAACTAGTGAATTGCTCGGACCTTGAAAAAAGATTTCATAGAGACCTTAGTCTTTCATGAAAGTTAATTTCCTATATTTGCTCCATGCCATGTCCCAAATCCAAATTAAGACCAACTTCACAATCAAATCAAATAGCCCACACTACATATAAGAAAAAAAGAAAAGCGCCCAAACTATGCAACTCAATTACACTGGAAATAGACATTGTTTTTGCCAATAGAATAGAGATTGCCCAGATTAGAAACACTTCTCAATACCAAATTAAGACCAACATCCCAATCAAATAGCTCATACTAATTTGTCTTTTGCTTCAATTGAAAATTAAAGCAATGTCATTCTATAAGACTGGGAATAAACAACATCATTTGAATAGAAGTAGGCTATGAGTATATATACTTACACATTATGAAGCAGAGATATACATGTTCAATTCAAAAGAAGACAAGGAAAAACAAAAAGTGCTATAATTCCGAAACTAAATTAGATCTTGCCACGAGGACCGAGCTTTGGAGGAAGTTGTGGGCCCTTCTTGATTGGTAGAATGTCACCTGAAGCTGTGGCACTATAGTATGCGAGGGTGGAGCCACCTCCTAGGATCAAAAACTTGAGCAACAATCCCCTTTTTGTGAATGGAGCAGCAAATGTCTCAAAGAACTTGCTCTACAAATACAATGCCATATCAATAAAAATGATATTTTTTGGGCACTCGTAAACATGTTAATAATACGTAAGCTCATTTCTAATTAAATGAAGAATATACACACGTGCACATAGGAGACGAACCTGAAGAGGATTGTAGGGTGAAGGTGCATCTGAACCATACAAGTCCCACTGACCTGTAGTGTTGCCCAGATCCTCCAAATCAAAGTACACACTCTTGTCACCATACTTTGCTACCACAGCACCACTCCTATTATGTTAAGCTTTCACATAAAATTAGAACCCACATAAACCATAATGGGCCTTTTTTGGCTTTTAGAAAACTTATAAAACGAGGAAGAAGAGGGACATAGTGATTTAATAAATACTATTCAAAAGGTACCTTAAATTCTTGGGTCTGAAACTCTGGCGAGAGGGCTTGAAAGAGAGCTTGGTTCCATTAAGGGAACTTCCAGAAAGGCCCTTGACACTACTAGCTGGTTGAACTGTAGCTAAGCTTGCCAGAGAAGCCATGGTTTACACTTCTCCTTCTTTGGCCAAAGGTTCACACATGCTCTCGTTTTTTATGTATTACTCGAATCTCATCTCATCTCAAATTGCCACTCATTTATGTGATGCCACGTGGTTTAAAGATGGATAAGCCTATCCACTTTGATCTATTGGCAAAGATAACACATGCGTGCAGGGTAGCAGGATGTGATGGGACACATTTTTATTATAGGATTAGCTTATGACTTTATGTACCTTTTGCAAATTCAGTGGATAAAATACAAAGACGATATTAGAAAATATAAAATATTTGTTTGACATTGATATTTATAAAAAATATTTATTTATTTTAAAGTAAAAATATATTAATATTTTGTTAAATCAATTCTTTTTTTTATAAGAAAAAATCGTCAATAGTGTATTTTAAATTGAATATAATCCTATATTGTTATCAATTTTACCAAATAGTAAAGAGACGTTTGATATATGGATTTTTTTTAGATTATCGAAAAAATGATTTTGAGAATTCTATTTATTCACAGTTGATATAAGGATTGTGAAAAAAAATTCCAGAACCTAATTTTTCCAGTATTTTGATTCATGAACATTTTTTAAGGCAAAATATCATCCAAATTCTCAAGAGGCAAAAAGATATTTTCGCCTACGGGCCACTGGCACCAACGTTCCCAGGCTTGCTTTTCTTCTCGCACCAATAGCACGGTGATGGCGCCACTAGTGCCACCCTACATTCTCGATAATATTCGACGATCAACCAAACATGGAATTAGGAAACTTGAACTAATATTTTCGGTAATATTTTGACATTCCAAACAACTTTTTGGTCACATTTTCAAAAAAGTTACTTTCCCAACATATTATTGATAATCGTGATTCTTAGACACAAATTTTTTTTCCTCTACCAAATGCCCCTTAAAAGAAGGCAATTTTTCAATTTTGGTTGAATGTCTTTTTATTTATTTTAATAATGAATAACCTAACCAACAGACAACAAAATTAACAAGAGGAAACTAAAAGAGAACAACATGCAGTCGCCATATCAGCCATGAATAGGTAGTGAAGCCCTTTATGCCTTTTTTAGACCATCAAGATGGGCCCAATTTGAATAGCCTACTTCTAGAATTTTCTAGAGAGCATCTCATGATGAGCCATAGAGACTCATCACATGAGTTTTCCCACACCCCTACACTATTGTCCACTGTGCACTGAGAGTAGGGCAACATGCCTTGTCTCAGTGAGAAGACATGGCTAGGTGGACAGCTCTGGTCATCCTCTCTCCCACGCTTGAGAGAGATGTCTCCTCTCTAATTACCCCTTTCTCCCATGGAAGGGGTATCATCTATTCATTCATCTTATGAGCTGGAAACAAGTAGAGCCATCATAGCCATTTACACACCCCTTTTGATATGTAGCTAGGGATGTAAATGGGCCGAGTGGCTTGTCAGGGGCCCAAGGCTTGGCTTGCTTTAAACTTGGTTTGTCCTGACTTGTTTAATGAATAGAATGGGCTCAAGCTTTAAAAAAAAATCTTGTTTAGCAAACAAGCCCAAGCCTAATTTAATGAGACTAAGCTTTAAAGCCTGTGAGCTGGCCTCATATATTATTATAATAAATAATGAAATTTAATGTTTGTCCTTTTGAACGACATAGATTTGTGTCATTTTAGTCAAAATTATAGTGTTTATATTGAAAGAAAGAGATGCACAATGGAAATCAATGGGGAGGAAGTGAGAGATTTTTTCAATTTAAATATTAAATAAAAAAACTCATTTTAACTAAAATGACCATCCTTTAAAAAGATAAACATTTTTTTCATAAATAATATATTTTTATGTCACTAAATTATTAACCCTGTTTTTTTTGCTATTGTCTACTACCATTCTCTCATGGTCACAGTTTCACAAACAAGCTCTTTGATTATGGGTCACTCTTTTTCTCCCTCGGTTAGTTATAGAATTTATAGTCTCAATATTTGAATGTATGTGAGTTTGAAAAAAAATACGTTTTATAATTATAAATAAGTCAAGTCAAGCTCAAGCCATGCCTTTAACTTTTCATTAACAAGTCAAGCCAAACTTAAAATTTAACTCATACCAGGTTAATAGACCAAGCCAAACTCAAAATATTTTTCATAAACTTAATTCGTTTAAGCTAAAGTTTGGCTCAATACATGGAAAGCTCCAACAACGCCATGATTCATACCATGAACCATGATTACTAAAAGCACCCTTATATCCTTGAGGGAAATATCTATGGCCGTACAAACCCCAAATAGCTCAGGCATAACACTACTTCATTTGAAATACAACATGCACATATGTTATTTACTAAAAAAAAGTATGCATGTCTAGTGGCTTTTTGATCTTCGGAGACAATAAATATCAATTTGGCTTATGGGACATTGGGGGTTGGTTAGAGCCGGGACACCTTGCATTTTTACTTTTTATTTTTATTCTTCGTTTTTAGAATATTGTGAGATCCCGTAGCACTCACATATTGTACCATATGGTGTAATTTTATTCATCCAATCTTTTCTTTTCACTCCAGTTTTTTTTTTTTTTTTAACAATTCCTTGTTTGAGGTTAGTATTTTATCTTTTTTTATTACTTACTTTAATTAATAATATAATAATTAAGGACAATAAACTAGTGATTAGTAATTACTGATTAATAATTAGTAACATTAAATTTAATTATATAATGGGTTTGATATTTGTCATTTTAAATGACATAAGTTATATCATTTTAGGAGAGAGATAGACACAAAAAATGAAAATCATGGGAGAGAGAAAGTGAGTGATTTTTTTTAATTTAAATTTTAAATAAAAAAATTATTTTGTGTCTATCTCTCTTAAAATAACATAATTTTATGTCATTTAAAATGACAAATATTTTTTTCTTATATATATAATATTCAAGTTAATATTATATTTAATTGTTTTTATTAGTGATTTATAAGTTATAAAATAAAATTTAATATTTTATTAATTATGATATCACATATTCTTTTTTGGGAGTTACCTTCATTCTTATCTTGTGATCAATAAGAAGGAGTTCCCTACATTCTAAATCAATGTTACTAAAATCGATTCGGTCATTGACCCGGTCGAGATACTGGGTCAACCAGTGGGTTACTAGTTCAACCACATGACCCGGAAATTATATGTAATTTTATAATTTATATTAAAAAATTATAAACATACTCAAATATCTAAAAAAATGATAAATTTTTTAAATATTTTAATATAAAAAATAATAAATCACATATTATTATCCAATAAAAAATCAAACAAAAATATAATGATCGTGATACATGACTTTAGGTTCAGAAAATGACATCTATAACTATAAATCAAATCAAAATTTTCTACATAGTGAAAAATTGAGATAATATTAGTGTTATAAGTACATAACTTATGTAAGTCAATAAGCAAAATAATATTCAAATATGTCTATTATGATTTTTTTTAGAAAGAAATTTGAATTTTTTTTTTGGGACTGGGCCGGGTCACACCGGTTTTTATGAAAACCGGCCAGGTCGGATCGGGTCGCACCGGTTCTGATGCATGGTCGGTCCGTTGCTTCAACCGGACCGGTTATATGATCGGTTTACCGATTCTCGGGTTAATCCGGCCGGGTCGGTTTGATTTTATTAACACTGTTCTAAATAACCTATTAATCGTTAGGGGTGTTAATAGATCGAACCAGGCCGGGCTTTGGTTTTAAAAGGTTAAACCTGTTCTTAAATGTGTAAGTCTGGCCTAGCCTGTTACTTGTTATGAATATAATTATTGGCATGTGGTCTGACTTATTTACAAAAAATAAAAACTTGATTTAGCCTGTTAAAAAAAATATAAAACAACAAAAATTTATCCAAACAGAATGTACAATCAACAACACTAATAATTTCACAAAGATTTATAAATTCAATGTATATCCAAACAACATAATATAGAATAAAATCATTCAAAAAGTCTGTTTAAGCAATAAAATGATAGGTGAAATGAGTTGAGGAGAGAGATAAGGTTATTATGAGTAGTATAAAAAATATAAAATAAAAATAAAAGTTAGTATACTAGGCTAGCCTAAGAGGCTCTAAGGCCAGACTTTTGAATTGGAGCCTGACACTTTTTTATTAAACGAGCTCTTATATAAGTTTAAGCTTGATTCTAACACCCAATTTTGGATATGTAAACCCAGGCTTTCGTGAACCGGGCCAAAGGCCCCTGTTTCATTTAGCATCCCTATTAATTTTGTTTTAACTATAGGAAAAATGTTTGTCCTTTTAAAAGATATAACTTTGTGTCATTTTAGATCTTAACCGTTGATTTCTGTTAATCAAATGTTAGGATTTATTGCGAAATAATTAATTAAAAAGTTTGACCATTAAAAGATATAACTTTTAAATGTTTTGTATTTAATAGGAGTTGATTGCGTTTTGTATTTAATAGGACGCAATCAGCTCCTATTAAATACAAATCGCAATCAACTCCTATTACATTAAATTCAAAATTCAAAATTCAAATAACCTCCAATACTGTGTTTGTCTCATTCAATCAATGTTTTCACGCTCATTTAGGATATTTAATCGATTAAATATAAGTTGTAATCGATTAAATCAGTTTAGAGGGATATTTAATCGATTAAATCTTCAAGTCAACCATTTTTGCTTGTTTTGACCATTTAATCGATTAAATCTTCAAGTTAATCGATTAAAGAGGGACAGATTGGTAGATAGTTTTGGATAATGGGCAAAATGATTATTAATTAATTAGTGAAGGGCAAAAGGGTCAAAAAGCCATTGCTAATTGCAAATATCAATTATGAGTTAGAATGAACTATCCATAACACTAATTAGTACCATGTGTAGATACAATGTATGTTTTGATGATAACAAAGTCGCAACAACAAAAAGGGAAGAGCTTTGATCAAGAGCAAAAAACATCAATCATAAGTGGATATTGAAGATGTATGATGTAGCCACACAAGAAGAGTGATGTCATATCAAAGTGACAAGATCATCGGACCAAGAGCAATAAGGAATAATTAGAAGAGCAACACCAAGATTAAAGACAACTAACCATGGACAACACCTAAAGAGAAGCTTAATATCATAATCATGGTGAAAAATGATCAAAACCAACAAAGTGTCAAGCATTGTCATATTCAACAAGTCAAAGCATCAAGTTCAAGTAAAGATCCAAGACACAAGACATTAAGCTAAGTCTAAAATCATATTTAGAATATATCTTTAGGACTTAGAATATATGTGAGGATATATGATAGATTGCATTGCATGAGCTCAAAGTTTTTCTCAAAGTAAACGTGTTTTTCAAATTGCATTATCATAACCTTTATATACTTGAAATAAATTTGAAAAATCCATGGAAAATATCCTTGACATATTTTATAACTTGAAAACATATTTATCAAGTCAAGATATTTCACAAAAAGTGGTTGGAAGCAAGCTAGAACACATTTGAACTTAAAATTTGGTGCTTTATTTTGCTGCTGCCTTCATACAATTTTTCGTATCTAAGATGATATATTTGGATCTTGTGTTATTCATAAAAGTTGTAGATCTCTATTTTATCTTTCTAACGAGACCAAGATCACATCAATCTGACAAGTATAACTAAAATTATAGCCAAAATATGAAACAGTGTTCTTGTTGTCAAGTTGATAATCGATTACCAGCATATGGTAATCGATTACCATTGTGACAGAATCTATACAACGGCTTTAAACGACTAGTTTTTAATGGAAACACTATATATGCATTCTCAATGACTCTAAAACATATTGGACATCATTCCTACACATATTAAGCATACTTTGAGAGCTTCTACACACTATCATTTGCATATTCTTTCATATCTTTCAAAGATCAAACATATTTGAGCTCATATCTTGAAAATCCATATACTCATAGTGCTTCAAGTTGTATATCCACACTTTGAGAGTGTATATTCATTTCCAAATATTTCGCTCCTTGAATTCATGAGTTGAAAGGGTTGTGAGACCCATTGTTTGAGAGGTAGCCAAATACCTAAGTAAATTTGAAGTGAATTGCAAGGTTGCCAAGTACCCGTAAACTTGGAGATTGTAAGGTATCCAATAACCGGAAGTCTTGGAAGATTGTAAAGGTTTGTCAAGCACCCGTGAAGCTTGACCATTAGTGAAAGAGTTGACCGAGTAGCTTCAGTCTGGACGTAGGTCATAAGTAGTGGTGACCGAACCAAGATATATTGTGTTTGCAATTCTCTAAACTTTAAACTCTTTATTTCTAGCACTTTAATTTCTTCTTTGATATCTTGTATGTGCTAGAATAAGTTCTATGATTGCGATATATTATATATTGTGGATTATTTGAATATATTGATTAGCTTTTTTGTGTGTGTAGATATTAATTAGCTTTTCACATATCAAAGTTTGCTTGAAATGATTATTTAGAAACTAGAAGGAAGCTTTTGCGAAAATCTTGTAATACTCAATTCACCCTCCCTCTTGAGTATGAAAGCCACATTTCTAATACCATGGAATAGTAATATTAACACTTTTTTTAAAGAATTGGTATTTATTCAACAAATATCAAATTTATTATATAATTTATATATTTTAAAACAAATAAATAATTAAATTACTTGAGTTTAAAAATTAAATCAATAACTATAAAAAAATCAAATAAAAAATAGGTTTTGAAATCAAGTCAAAAATGAGTCAAGTCGGATTTGACCCGATTTTGAAACCAAGTCAGACCCACTTCAGAAACCAAGTCAGGTTAGATTTGACCCAGTTCTGAACCAGTTCAAAAAAAATTCAAACCGGATCAGACCTGACTTGAATCAAATTAAATTGGGTCGGATCAAATTAAATTGGGTCGGATCAAAATACTTGACCTATAAAATCAAGTTGGGTCGGGTCGGCACAAAAACTCGACCCGACTTGACCCATGCACAGCCCTATAAGCCGCGACAACTTGATAATTCAAAATTTATTGAAATATTTTTCTAAAAAAAAGCATTAATCAAACAATTTTCAAAATAATGTTATACATTCAATAAATTTTTTAAAATTTAAAATAATCAACCCACAAAATACTTTTGAAAATGACATTGTTTTAAGTTCCTTATTACACCAAGGGAAAGTCGGAATTATTAATCCTTAATTATTAAGAATAATTGGAATGAATAATACATTATCGTACAACTTTAATATTAAGAATTATTAATCCATAATCCTAACTTCCTAATGAATAATTGAATTACTAATCCTTAATTATTCATTAATTTTTACTAATCACAAAAGATTAACAATATTATTTAAAAAATTAATAGTATTAAAATTAACATTTATTTAATAATTCATTTCATAACTCATGCAATCAAAATAATGAGATTAATATTTTTCATGTTGCAGAAAATAATTTTTTATTCTACATAAGTAAAAATATATGAATTCTTTAAAAAAAAAAGAGTGCATAGATCCTATAATGGGCCATATAAAGAGAAGATAAAAAAAATTCACATATTTATATATATATATATATATATATATATATATATATATATATATATATAACAGATAAAATTATATTCTATAATATAAAAAATATCAATTCTTACACAATTCTTAAAAGATGATTATAATAATCATTTTTTTATTTATTTAATAATACAAGATTGAATAAATATTCTATAAGAAAATTTTACACATATGAAATGTATTAATTTATCAAAAAAATTGTAAAGAATTCATGTTGTGATTAATAATTAATAATTTATATATATACGAAGAGAAGGTTTCGCATTATCTCTTTGTCCGGAAAGAGATAATGATGTGGCTTCTGCAACTCCCTCCTAAGCTCTCAACCCCATTCCTCCATGGCCATGGCAATGGAGTCACGTCTCTCTCAAAACCCAGTTCCTCTCTCACTCTCACCCATTCGCCATCCCCATCACTCTCAATTAGGGCCATGAAGTCAATTCAGGGAAAGGTGGTGTGTTCGACGAGCGACAAGACGGTGGCGGTGGAGGTTGTTCGGTTGGCGCCTCACCCAAAGTACAAGAGGCGCGTGAGGAAGAAGAAGAAGTATCAGGCTCACGACCCAGATAACCAATTCAAGGTGGGTGACATCGTGCAGCTCCAGAAGACCCGACCCATCAGCAAGACCAAGACTTTTCTTGCCGTCGCCCCTGCCAATAGGCCTTCCAACAAACCCTCCGTCTCCGAGGACCTACCCATTCCGTTCGAGTCTCAGCAACCTTAGATTCAGTTACTCTTTATTTTTATCCCAATCCTTTTTCGCTTCGCTTTTATGTTTATGTAATGTAATGTAATCTGTTATCATGAGAACTTGGCTTACTTGTTGTGCCTTATAAATGTTTGATGAAATGTTGGATTGGGTTTTTGATAAACCCCCAAAATTTGATGTTATGGCAGTGTTATCTTGAGAATGTTTGATGAAATGTTCGTTTAGGTTGCTGATGAACCTCCAGAAGTTGATGGCAAAATTTCCTTCATAATATCTTGTATTGGCATTGTAGTTTACCTTCCCTGTTGAACTCTTACTCTCTCCTCTTTTTGTGTTCTATCTTTGGTGAATTGTAGTTTACCTTCCCTGTTGAGCCCTGTTGGGACTGCTGTTTTTCATTCCCTTTTTGGAGCATTTTGTGTGTAGAGCCTGAAGAGCATTTTGTTTTTCATTCCCTTTGTATTTTGTTTCTTCCTGCTTTCACTCGAGGCTATCAGGAACAGCTGAGAATCCTGAGGGCAGTATGGCAAGATTGCTTGAATCTTTGCATCACAGACTCATAAGGATTTGTTCAGCTATCTTGCAGTATTCACATGCTGTTTTCTTTTGATTTAATTGTCTACAAAATGAGAAGAATCCCACATTTTACTTAGAACCGTGTTTTGAATGCATTTTTCAATTTTGTTCAGTGTGTAATGTATTCAACCGTAGTAACTTTTAAATGTTGCCGCATGGCCTTGGTCTTGTCCCATTGTGACAATGATAATTATGCAGTTACCCTTCCAAATCCACATAATTACTCACCAAATTGACAAAATACATTCTGAAGGAAGCCAGGCAAGAGAGTGGTACTACGGCGAGGTTCATCCCTCATTAAATCAAATAGATCATTAGGATAGATATGCGACCATGCACAAGAAACTGCGCACAATATCACCCCAAGAGGTTCGAAAGGATCGTTCAAGTTCTTTCAGGAACTAACCCTTTTGTCTTCTCCCCATTTTGCTTGTAACCTTTGTCCATGTATGTAAAAGCTTGGCGCGTCAATTGCATGGCAGAAGCTCCATATCATTCTTTGTTCCAGCTTTAAAATGCTTTTTCTGCCAGCCAAAGTGGCAACACCTAACATTTTATCACCAATCTGTTTAGTGAAGTATTCAACATAATAAATTTGGTATAAACTGTTGGGCCACTCCACATATAAGAACCGAGGCTTGTGAAAGATAAATCAACAAGGTGATATGAAAGCTTATAGGCTTTTCAGAGAGTCACCATATCCTGATGCAAAAGCACAGGCAACAACTTAGCAAGCTATTAGGCCTTGCTCCCAGGCAACAACTATGGGAAAAGCATGTGTTTTTCTAGGTTCTAATATGGTTATGATATTGTTGTACACCCTTTGAGAGAGACAGAGTGCTCATTTCGAAAGCAACAAGAAAGGCTTTTCCATTGGGGTGGGGCTCTTGAAACATAAATATTGGTCTGCTGATACTTGTGAGAACTAACCAAGCGAATTTTCAACAATTTTATCCAACTATATTTACAATCCAAAGACAAGAATTAAACCATTAATTTTTTCTGTTTGGCAATAAAGATCAAGGTCATATGAAAATCTTGAAGAGACATTCGACGTTTGGTGGAGGAGAAATTTTTTTTTGTCCAAAATTTTCTATTTTCAAAAATATGATTTTCACATTTAGTTTACGATAATATCCGAAAATTAAAAATTTAGAAAAATTCAGTTTTTTAGAAATCTTACAAAACACCTCGTATCAAATGCCCCCTAAGTAACTCAGTAGAGAAATTAGTTCCAATCAGTCCTCGCATTGGGTTGCGGAGTAGTATGAGCAGAGATCCAACATGAGATGTATGAGATATAATAATTCATACTTAAAAAATACCAATGAACATGCAGATTGTTAATTTTAATAACAAATGTAACATACTAGACAGAAAATTGTACCATTGCAACAATAATCAGTCCTCAACTGCAGCAATTCCAGTTTCCTCAATGCAAATTTAGTCATGAAACACACAGGTGAGGCAGCAAAATCAGTATATTAACCAATGCAATTATCAAGAATTAATATATTATTTCAATATTTTAGTATATTAAAATAAAAAAATAATTATCAATATATAATTTTTTTAAAATATTTGAGATTTTTATTTTTATAAAAATTAATATATTTTTTGGACACACTGATCAATATATCTCTATAAAAAATAATATCATCTGATATATTTGGAAGAATTATGTAAATTCATTATTAAAAAGTATTTTTGACAAAAATATTTATTTTTAACTTATCTAGTATTATACAGTATATTAGCAAATATTGGATGATATTATCTTATACAATATCATGTCAAACGCTAGATAGTATTAAAATTTAATCAGGTCTTATACAATCATGCCTTATAATATCAGGTCTTATACTATCTTATACTATGTGTCAAACATGCCCTAAAAATCAGAATCATTAAATATAAATATAATTAACTTTTAAAGTTGAGAGTTTAATTTACATTTATGATGGAATTTTTTTTTTGGTAACACATTAATGATGATTTAACCAGTATATTTATATGGCTTTATTACTCTTCTTTCACATAAGATAGTTATAGAGAGAAAGTAGGTGGGTCCCACCATTACAAGAAAAAAGAAAAAAAAAAGAAAAAATATGGTGTGAGAAAAGTGAAGTAAGAGAGCATAAGAGAAGTTATCTTATGTGAAAAGAGTAATATTTTCCATATTTTTATCTTTTTTTATTAAAAATTATTTTCATTGGGCCCGGCACGCTTTCGCCCAACACTTCTGTGAAAATTGAAAACTGCAAATACAAACAGTAATTTTAAAACAATTATTGTATATTTCATCATCTCCTATAAATAGTTTCTCTATTTATTTTTTTTTGATAACATTAAGGGGCGAAACCCCAAACAAAAACAAACAAACAACCAGAAACAAAAAATAACTATCCAGGGTCTATATCCCTACAAGAGGAGATTCCCTGAAGATCGTGATCAAATAACTGAGCAAGGTGAAACGGCATAACTCTATGACTCCAGAATCCAGTATCTTTGTGAAGAGCAGACTTGGCTAACCAATCAGCACAGGAATTAGCTTCTCTTGGAATATGAGAAAGCGTTACCTCCCAATCCTGACCGATGAGAGCTTGTATCTTAGCCACTCTACGAGGCTGACAAGCTACATTGCAATCAGCAAGCAAAGAGAATACTTCAGAAGCATCTCCTTCTAGTTCCACCTTCTTAAATCCCAGTTGCCAAACCAATTCCAGACCTTTTAGAGTTCCCCAAAGCTCCGCCATTAAAGGAGTGCATGCACCAATATGATACTCAAAGCCTCCCAACCAAGAGCCATCATCAGATCTGATAATCCCACCACAAGCAGCCACCTCAGTATTCCTTTCAACTGCCCCATCAATATTAATCTTCACCCAATTTAGCCTTGGAGGTTTCCATAAACTCATACGAGTTGGATGAATGCTAGTAGTAGCCATAGCCTTCCTACCCATGCAGTTACGAACTTCCTCTATATACATAGCAATTATGTGCGTTCCATGGGTTGGATGCTTGAAGTTAGTATCATGGACACTTTTGTTCCTCCATCCCCAAATGAACCAACAAGAGATAAAAAAGACATCACGCCAATCATCTGAACTACTTTGATTCCAAGCTTTTGAGATATTATTTTCAACCCAATCTCTAAGATCCAAGCTGTAGAATAAGCTTTGCCGATTAGCTGAAATCATAGAATTCCAAACACTTCTAGCATGCTTACAATCTCTTAGAACATGGAGATTTGTTTCCAACTCACCAGGACACATTTTACAATGACCAGATTCCCCACTCCATCTAGATGTGCGGTCTTTAGTAAGAAGGCGGCCATGCATTATGATCCACATACAAGATTTAACACGTTGAGGCCCATGCCATTTCCATATGGTAGTCCAAGAATTTTTCAACGGCATGAGAGGGAAACCAAGCATGTTATAATACGCGGTTTTAACTAAAGAGCAGCCAACCTTTTGATTTCTCCAAATAATGCGGTCATTTCCATCCGATGCGCTAGGATATTGTAACAATTAATTAACGCTACTATCAATATTATTATCAATCAATTTCATCGTTAGATCAATCAATTATGTTGATCCAACGATTATATTTATTTTCTTCTTTGTATGGTTATGATTTCCCATATTTAATACTTTATATTTATTTTCATCTTTATATGATATGATTTCACATATTTAAGTATTAAATATGAGAAATCATAACCAAACAAAGATGAAAATAAATATAATCGTTTGATCAACATAATCAATCTAACGGTGAAATTGATTGGAGTAACATTATTCAACTATATTTACAATCCAAAGGTTAGAATTAATCCATTAATTTTGTCTGTTTGGCAGTAGAGATCAAGGCCATATTAAAATCTTGAAGAGACATTAAGTATCTCAGCAGAGAAATTAGTTTCAGTCAGTTCTCCCACTGGTTTGTAGAGTAGTATGAGCAGAGGTCCAAAATGAGATATAAGAGATATATGGTGTGTTTAAATGTGTTTTTGTTTTTAAAATCTATTTTGTGGACAAAAATTTTAAAAATTGATTTTGAGAGTAAAAAAACAATAAAACTTGTTTGAGTATAGTTAGTTTTAAAGTTATAAAGAAGTTGTAATTATTTATAAAAGTGCCATTAATGAATCCTCACATTTACAAGATTGCCACCACAAAGTAATTTAAAATCAAAATAAAAATCGAGTTAATTACGACCAAATACAAATTCTCATATTCTAATTTGTTAGATATTTGAGCCGTTAGATGAAAGAAATTGATGATCAAGATTTGATGCAAGACTTCTTATTCTTACACCGTATAAAAATATCATGCTATATATATAAGGGAAAAATGTGTGTCATTTTAAATGACACACCTTACATCCTTTCACTCCCACAAAGAGGTGGGACCCACACTTTTAAAAAAATTTCCCTCCACTCTCTCCCCATGATTTATCTCTTTCTCTCATTTTAAATGACACAACTTTGTGTCCTTTAAAATGATACATATTTTTTCCTATATATATATATATATATATATATATATATATATATATATATATATATAGGAGTGATATTTTTTTTATAGAAATATTCCAATCGGTTCATCGCTTTTCAACTAGTCCGATTCGGGGCGAGTTCAGGATTAAGGCTTTAAACCTCTCCTAAAGGTGGTACTGAGGAGGATATATTAGTGATCTTTTGACTTCAATATAAGACTTAA